CCAATTATTTTGATAACTTTTGAGGCCCACTTACAATTTATTTTGCTGGGTGACGGCGTGGCTGCCCGTATTTAAAACCTATGTTGCACCAAAAAGTATTTTTGAAATCCATCAGGGTCGATTAATCGGTATAATAGGGCTATACACAATAATCCCAAAAATCTGATAAATAAGCTCTTTATTATACACCGGTCATAAAAAAACAGCAAGTAAGGCGAGGCATACTGTAGTGGTAGGCATAATCCGTATGATAGTTAGTATCGCCAGGCACGATTTGCTATCAATTTGCCGAAATATCATTCGTCGAAAGTCACTTTTTCGAAATTTCATGTTGTCGAAATTTCACTGCGCTGAAATTTTAATTTACGAAATTTGGAGGCGAATATTCGAGGCAAATAAGGAATTGAAACTTCGATAAATTGAAATTTAGACAAATCAAAATAAGCCCGGACGCACTGTTAAACGAATTGAGCGTCAAAACAATTTCAGTCACCAATAATTTTCTAGAAACACAAGATTTTAAGAGGCTTTTGGCTATAAAAAACGGGATCTGGCAAGAGTTCTACAGGAATTTCCGCCGTCCCAGGGCCTTTAAAGGACAATTAAAGGCAAGAAGTCGTGGATTTTCAGTTTCAGCTACTGGTGCTATTTTCGGAGCACTCGCTGACGACGAGCAGCGGCGGGATGATCGGCACGCTGCGTCGGCGGTCTTCTTTTAGCTGAAAAAGTAATAGATACAATAACTAACTAAAAAGCAGGATGCAATTTTTCGTCTGCATTTTAATACTTAATAGCATTTCATACAACTTTAATTTAATTTAGTTTTGTCCCACTACGATTATTGGTATTTATTATGTGTTTTTGCCTTCAATTTAATCCAGAATATAAAAGTTTGCCAAAATGCATTGTTTGGCGCGCCGCAAATTGGTGTTATTTTCTGGCTGAAACAATTTTTTTTTAAAAACGTGGTTTTCTTAATGTCTCAAGTCCCCCATTTTTCTCCTAAACAAATTCTAAATGCAGTCTTAGTTTATTTTGTTTTTGTATTTTGTGAATTTTTCTAGTGTTTTTGAAATAATTTTTACTGATTAATTAATACAAAAAAAAAAAAAATTAGTTAAAAGAAAATAAAATATAAAAAAAAAATTAAAAAAAAAAAACAAAAAAAAAAAAAAATAAAAATAAAAAAAAATTAAAATAAAAAAAAATTTTAAATTTTTTAAATTTAAAAACTTTTTTTAAATTTTTTAAATATTTTTTAAATTTAATTTTAATTTTTATTTTAAAATTATTTTATAATAATATTTTTTTATTTTTTTCTTTTAATTTTATTTTTTTTTTTTTTCTTTTTTTTTTTGTTTTTTTGCCAAATTTTTATTTTTTTTTTTTAAATAAAAATTTTTTTCATTTTTTTTTTAAAAATTTAAAATTTTTTATTTTAGTTTTTTTTTTTATTTTTTTAACTTTTTAGAAAAAAAAAAAGAATTTTTTTGTTTTTAAAAAGAAAAAATTTTTTTTTAAAATCTTTTTTTTAAAAAATTTTTCTTTTTTTTTAATTTGAATTTGAAGCTTCTCGAATTGAGTTATAATAAATCGGCTTTGCCATCTAGCAAAACGAAACATTGCTTTTGCAAAAAACAAATGCTCTAGTTTTTCAAATTGAAATAGTTGGAGGTCTTCTTTTAACTTCTTTTAGCATTATTTTATTGTTTTTCGGGCTTATCATTTTTCATTTAACGTGAGGATTCAATATCGATAAACTTTTGATAGGCTGCATCCATTACTTCCCAACCCCTGGAGATTAATTACCGCTAACTCCAATCCATCCGGGTTTCTGGACGAATCACCTTTTTCTAATGAAATTCGACGCGAATTTGGTCCTTTGCATAAACTATTTCTGTTTAAATAGCTTTCCTTCATTTTATGCTTTAGGTAAGTTTTATCTCCCTGCCCTAATTCTTTCCTATAATTTGTAGAGGGGCGTGATAAAGTCTGAATTTTGGGTCGAAGACCGAGTTTTTTTCCATGTTTTAATAAAAAAGTAAGTTTACGTCTCGGAATCGCAAAGAAAGTTTAGAAACATTTCTTCTATTTATATTTGAAAAAAAATGGATTCTGAGGGAATAAGTTGGTCCCCCCAATATTGCAATAGCTCCGAACCATTTTAAGAAAACCCACCTGCGTCCTCCGATCCAGCAATGAGGGCATTTTGAAGGGATTGTGCGATTTTTTCGCGGGTTCTCCACTTCTTTCCGGGTCTGCCGTAGTTGAGGGAGAGTTGTGGAGCTAGAAGACATTATTTTTCCTATTCATGTGTAGCAATCAAATCAAATAGTGTTTAGTAATTTAATTCTTCTGATTGCAAGTATTAAAAGATACAATGATTGGCAGGATATGATCCAATGATTGACCGGGCGCTTTGCTGTCGTCCTAAAGTTTGTCTCCGAAACATCGAAATTTAATTTTCAGGCGTTCCATTTTTTTAAATTTTTAGCGCCAAAATTTCTGCGTAGTCGATCCCGGTATTGATCGCCACAGAGGCGTGACGCTATTAATTTTTTCCTGAAACATATGAGTACCAAAAATTGGTCTGTACCGCTCCGTTAGCGGGGGAGAGAGGATTTTTGTCAATAATTCCGTACGCCCCATGCCAAAACATAAGCGGTTTTTATAGCGTTTTATACAATTTTTTCGAAATTGTTTGACGTTTCGGTGAAAAATCTATGAAAAGGTCACAACGTACTAGAAAAAATATTGTTCCTACTTGATGTATCAATAAAATCAACTGATATTTTCTTAATTTTCTCAATTAAGCAAACCTATTTGATCGATTCTAAGAATTCCATCTTAGGTATAAGAAATGCATTTGTGAAGAAAGGAGCTTTGGGTGCAAAATTGACTGGTGGCCAGGCCCGTAGCGGAGGCGGAATTTCGGGAGGTCCCAAAAATTTTGGCGAGGGCTTTTTGGTCTTCCCCCTTTAAAACTTCCGTCATTAATCATAAAAAATATGGACGGTACTTGCTTTTGTGTGAAACATGAGAGTCACGAAATTCGGCCTCTGTTTACAGATTTGGAGATTTTGGTACTGGCCTGTTAGCGGGGGAGGGACCAACCTGTTCCACGTAAGCCCGTACGGTCCCATAACAAAATACAGGTGATCTTTATAAGACATTTTTGCAATTGTGAGATCTAACAAGATCGAAAGTATTATAAAGATTCGAAATTTACGACTTGTTGGACAAAAATATGCAAGGCGAGAAGAAAAGAAACCGATATTTTTCCTGCCTAATGTATTGCAACCATATCAAATGGTATTTGTCAAGTTTTTAGTTATGCAGAAGTATATCTTATCGATTGACCTCAATTTCTACCTGACGCGGATAAAGAAATAGAATTTTCGAAAGAAAACGAGCATGCTATTGACCAGTGGCACCGCTGATGATCTGAACGTTTTTACGAAACATGAAAATTTTAAGGTGACAGGTCCGGATTTTAATAATTTTCATTTTCACCTGAAACTTCTAGTACTTACGATTGCGCATGGACTGTATGGACTTTTATTTGAAACATGCGACGGTAAGAGTTGCGCCGGGGAGAGGAACAGAAACGGAATTATAAACATTTTCTAAACTGTTGGATTTGTCGTTGAAAAATCTATTAAGGAACCAAAAAAGAACTAGAAAACATCTGCTTTGGCTTAATGTATAAAAAAATCAACAGGTAATTTTGAATTTAATTTTCCCAATTAAACAAAGGTATTTTTCTTTATTAGAATTCCACCGTAAGCGCAGAAAGGAAAAGGATGTTGGCGAACCAGAACTGACTGGTGGCTGTGCCTTCGATCTGGACGTTTTTACGAAACATGGAAATTCCAAAGTGCTAGGACTTGATTTTTGTGACTTTCATTACTGACTTTCGAAAAAAACTATCCGTCATTAATCATAAAAAATATGGACGGTACTTGATTTTATGTGAAACATGAGAGTCGCGAAATTCAGCCTCTTCTTTACAGATTTGGAGATTTTGGTACTGGTCTGTTAGCGGGGAAGGGACCAATTTGTTGCAAGTAAGCCCGTACGGTCCCATAACAAAATACAGATATTTTTTGTAAAAAAGTTTACGTTCGCTAGATATAACAAGATCGAAAGTATTATAAAAATTCGACATTTACGGCTTGTTGGTCGAAAAATATCCAAGGTAAAAGCAAACAACCCTTATCGCAAACATATCAAACGGTATTTGTTAAGTTTTTAATTATGCAAAAAGCATCCTATTGTTGACATCAATTTCTACGGATAAAGAAATAGAATTTTGTAACGGACAACAACATGCCATTGACCAGTGGCACCGCTGATGGTCTGGACGTTATGACGAAACATAAAAATTTTATGGCGCTGGGGGTTTTTTTTTGCGAATTTCATTAGTGAATTTCGAAAAAGAACTACCTTCTATTACGCATAAAAAGTATGGACGGTATTTTCCTTTGCATTCGGTCGCTTGGTTACAGATTTGGAGGTTTTGGTGCTGGTCTGTTAGCGGGCGTGGGGAACAATTTTTTTCCAATAATTCCGTACGGCCCCATACCAAAATATAAACGATTTTTATTACATCTTTTACAATTTTAAGATACAAAAAGAAATCAATAAAAATTGTAAAAGATTTAGCTTCAGGGGACTCCAAGGAAAGAAAGACCTACCACAACCATCGGCACGGCTATCCTCTCGTCATCGCTCTCGCCCTCATGCGATGTGGCCAGGGAGAGGCGCTCTTGGTTTAGAAGGCCCTGAAAATACTAAATAATTAAAACATTCAAAACTGGACGTTTGACATTTTAGTGCCATGCCGGAAGTTAACGATAGTTCTCGAAATCCCTGGATCCTGCATTATCGCCCACAAAAACATGTTATAGTGGCCGTTCAATGAATCATTTTTTTTACCGACGCCTCGGACGCTTGCGTTATCAATGAAAGACTTTGCTTAAAGGATGGTTCTTTCGCTTGATCATTATCAGGCATTTTTGTATGTGGCCATAAATGCCTTTCAATGTAATACTATTTTTATCGTATCTCTAGCAAAACATAATTTGTGAAGTCAAAAACTATCTAAAAAGCCTTAAAAAGTCGTAAAATCTAGTGGTCAGACTCGGTAAAAAGCCAAGCCTTGCTTGGGAAGAAAGGCGCAGGTGACCCAATAAAGGGTTAAAACAGTCTTGAAAACTATAAAGTAGTCCTGGAAAATAGAGGTTTCTTCGATGCTGACGATTAGCGAATGATTGTCAGCATTAATCTTGTTGGTCAAGAGTCAACTGGTCTACTATTTAGCGCTCTCCCCTGCTGCATGCCAAAACTAGCTCAGAAACGCCCCTAAAAACCACCAAGGAACCCTGTTCGAGTAGAATTTAAAGTTTCTGCCATTCTTGGGTAGCAACTCCGGAACATTCTCATAATTGAGGAGTCGATCCAGCTGCAGTATATGGACAAATTTCGAGCATTAATCCCCGTAAATCGAAGCTAAACCTGAGAATTCCGTTCAAATTAATTATGTCTGAAAATTGCAGGCAATTGATTGTCTGAAAAGACAGTAAAAAACCAAAAACCGGCTCTGGTAAATGCAATGTTTCATTGCTCAGAGCTAGTAGTTTGCGAGTCTCTAAATTAAATCTCATCACTCCCCATTTGGCCAACTACCACGTCTTTTTTCTTTTCAGTGACCGGTAAGGTATGGCTGTTTTTTTGTTGGTTATTCATTCCCTATATTTTTCCGCACCACAGCACGCAACGCGCACGCCTATCATTCCATTTTCGTAATTAGCAATTACGCACTTCACAGCCGGAAAGCCGGACAAGGGTTACGGGTCGCTAGCGCAGCAAAATCCGTGAACATTTCAAAGCCAATAAAATACATGTCCTTCAACACCTAGTCGATCCCTTTGAAAGGTGAAAGGCTGTTACGCAACTATACACAGCAAATCCGGGGCGCGAAAAATGAAGTTTCGTGGTTTCGTAGGTATCCGACTAATTCTGTCTTTGATAATCCTGGTTTCGGATCGTAATCAACTAACTAACAAGGTACTACTAAAAAATGCTAGGTATATTTTATATAATATGGTGTCATATTTTATGGACTTAAGGGAAGCCTTCTACTCCATTAACAGGTTAAAACAAGGTGCAGAAACTTGAAATGTCTCGAGAATATGGCTTTGGAAAAATAGATGTTTCCTAGATATTGACTAGCAGCGAATGGGTGCCAGAATTAATAAAGCACTAGCCATATCGAATCCACCTAGCAGTCCGTCACTTGTTCGTTCGGCACCATTAAAAAAACCTAGAGCCATCTGGTCTGTTATTTGGGGCTATCACTTCTCTAAATACCGTATTTCCTCTAATATAGATAAGCCTCCTCCTCCATAAATGGGCTAAACTAGCGTGCAAAAATATTCTGATTAATCCTGAGCGGTAGCGCCGGTTTCTATATAATATGATGTCGTATTTCCTTTAGGCCTAAGGGAGCTACCTCCTCTATTAAAGGGGTAAAATCGCGTACAAAACCTATCAATGTTTCAAAAATATCTCAATGAAAAAAATAGATGCTCCATAGACATTCACTATCAGTGCGTTTGTGCTAGAATTAATCAGGCTCCTCCATCCTTACAGTCCGTCACTTGTTCGTTCGGCACCATTAAAAAAACTACAGCCATCTGGCCTGTTATTTGGCGCTACCACTTCTCTAAACACCGTATTTCCTCTAGTGTAGGTAAGCCTCCTCCTCCATTAATTGGCTAAAATAGCTTCTGAAAACTGTAAATGTTGTAAAAATGCCGCATTGAAAAATAGGTGTTTCATAGGCATCAAGTACCGGTGCGTTTTTTCCAGAAATAATAAACTCTCGAATTCCTTCATGAATCCACCTAGCAACCCCTCATTTGTTACAAAAAAAACATTAAACAATTGCTGAAGCAATCCGGCCGGTTATTTGGCGCTATCGCTCCTTGAATCATAACCCTATCGAAAGCCGATAAACAAATTTGATGTTTCCGCGATTCCGGGGTAGCAACTCCTGGGCATGCTACTTAATTTAACGCGAGTAAAAAGTTTCCAGAATTTGTTCCCTTGAATCGAGGCTAAACCTTCGAATTTCCTTAAAATTAGTATACCAAATAATTACAGAAACGCTATGCACAGAATTGACAGTAAAACGACAAAACCTCGTTTCCATTAATCTAGACAGGAGAGCGGAAAAATCAGCCGAGATTCTACGAGCCTTTAAAGGGTCTGGCAAGGCATTTTTAGGGTTTTTTGCCTATGGATTTCCTATAAATTTTTCCGCATCGCGACACAAGTTGCGCACATGTTCATTTGATGGATTAATAAGATGAACAGGACTTCGACAAAAAGATGTTTCAAAAACGGAGGGATCTGGCTGGATTTCTTTGACTGCAATCGCTCGTGTGTTGCGAACAACCTCAACGGATTAAAGGAGGGTCAAAGCAGATTACGGGTGCCGCCAGTCATCGATTTCGGATAGATTTTGCCGTTAAGGAACGCGTATCCCCGCTCTTCCATTGGGTAGTGGATTAGCGCTTCTTCATGTAGCCGAGGGATGGTTCGTGCGTGTCAATAAAAATATTCCAAAAATTGAGGGGTTTGGATAGATTTTTTAGGTGCAATATGATGTGTCTAGCACATAAGAGGACGCATCATCGCTACAGGCTACACAAAGGTTATGATCCCATTTATTTATTTTTGTGATTTTCTATCAGCCTGCGCGATGCGTTTCAATAAAAATTGTTCAAAAACGGACAGGTTTGGCGGGGGTTGTTTAGATGCAATACCTGGCGAGTAACGCAAGGCGTGGCTATGAATTTTGTTAGAACTGAATTTTATATAGTTTTTGTGGCGTTTCTCATGCCACATTTGTCGCCATTCCGTTGCGTAATGGATTATCATCCCTTGAGGTTTGGTAAATAGAGGGCGCGTCGCGTGACGCGGGTGGGATGATCTACAAAGCGCCTTGCTGGTCCCCTTAAAACAGCTGAAACCGACTTCCCAACCGCCTACACATACATACATAAAAAGTAGCCAGGCAATCTGGATGTTTTTGAATTGTTAGGGATGCGGGTATTGATTTTAGAAATAATGGTCCCTTGCACATTCGTGTTAAAACGAGTTTTTCTTAAAGGTCGTGCATTGCAATGAATTTGTTGGTCATTGTGCTCTTTGTGCATGACCGGAGGCTAAAAAGGCGTAAAGGGCAGATGGCTGATGTTTCTAGCATGGATTTCATATGGTTTTCCTATCTTATAATTAGGGTTGTTTCTCGGAACAGACCGAGATTCGGAACTTTCGGAACAAAGACTGGTCGGGAACGTTTCGAATTCGCGTAGTTCCTGCTGTTCGGAGATCCGGAACATTCCGAGATTCAAGGTTGCCGTTGTTCCGAGATTCATATTAGCTCCGACTGTTCCGAGATTCGGAACGTGCCGAGATTTGGCTGTTCCGGCTGTTCCGAGATTCGGAACAGTCCGAGATTGAGCTGTTCCGAGATTCAAATTTTTTCGCATGTAAATTTCGATTTCATGTAAATCGTGTAGATTGCATGTGAATGTTTCGATTTGGCCGTCCCACGGCAGTGGGGGCGCAACTGAACACTTAATTCCGTCGATGGTTAGATATCAAATCTGGAAATTAAGGAAATCAGAACGAATTGGGGCTCGAATCGAATCCAAATTCAGTCATGTTTGGAAATTTACATGCGAAAAAATTTGAATCTCGGAACAGGTCAATCTCGGACTGTTCCGAATCTCGGAACAGTCGGAACAGCCAAATCTCGGAACGTTCGAATCTCGGAACAGTCGGAACACTTTGAATCTCGGAACAACCGCAACATTTGAATCTCGGAATGTTCCGAATCTCGGAACAGCCGGAACACGCGAATCTCGGAACGTTCCGACATTCGGAACAGTCGGAACGGTTGCTGTTCCGAATGTTCCGAATCTCGGCCTGTTCCGAGAAACAACCCTACTTATAATCATCTCATCACGACCCGCAATGCGTACCCCGCCCTTTCATTGCGTAATGGATTGCGATTGTCAGTCAGTTCGACGATGTTTCAAAAAAAATGTTTCGAAAATCGAGCTGATGTGACGGGTTTGCTTCGGTTTAATTTAGCGCTCCCGTGTACTTCGATATGGTTAAAGAAGCAAACCAGGCTTGGGTACAGATTCTATTGGTTATGGACCCCATTGATTTTTTGAATCTCCGCATGCAAGCGCATTCCCGCCCTGCCATTGCGTAATGGATTACCACGCGCCTGGAAGGCTAGCAGCCTGCGCGTTGCGTTTCAACAGAAATGTTTCAAAAACGGAGTCATTTGGGTGGATTTGTTTATGAGCAATACGCGGTGTGTTGCACACAGTTCCAGATCGTTATAAAAGGACCAAACAGGCCTTACTAAATTATTTTAACCAATTGAGCTCATTTGAGCAAATACTTTTCCTTTTTATAACTTTTATTACTGACTTTATATTAATAATCTAATTTCTTTTGATTTCCCTCAAGTAATGGACTACCGCGGATTTAAATTCGGGAAAGGACGTACGCGCTGCGTGGCGTGGAACGACATTATTTAGAAAACGCCTTGCAGATCCCTTTAAAGCCGCTGAAACCGCCTTCCCAGCCGGAAAGAAAAAGACTTACAAACCAAAAACTGGCCGAGGCAATTTGGATGTTTTAGGAATTGTTAGGAATCGGTTATTTCCGTTCGAAAAACCAACGGTTGGAAAATGTTGTTAAAACAATGTTTTATAAAGGTCCTGTTTTAAAGTCGTTTTAAAGAGGATTAATTCCAGAATTTGTTGGCTATGGCTTCTCTATAGATTTTGCGCGCAAGCCCGCCCTTACATTCCGTGATGGAATAGTCCTTCTTCACGAAGCCCAATCGAGGTACGTTTTGGGTTTTACAAAAAATGTTTCAAAAAAGGAGGTATTTGGGTGGATTTGTAGAGGTGCAATACTTTGTGGTTTGTTCGAATTTCCATATCGTAGCATGGCGTAATGGATTAGCAAGCCTTACGCGTTGCGTGTCGCGGGTATGGTAAATTAATGGCCAACAAAAAAGTCTTGCTCGTCCCTTTGAAATGCTAAAAACAGGAAATACGTCTAGCAACGATCATGCGAAAACGGGCCCCGAAAATTGAATGCAATGTTTCATTGAGTGTTAAGCTAAAACTTAATGCAGTTAGAAATAATGGGGAGCTGGCATCTTCAGATATAATCAGTTCACGAATTTTCAAGGGCTTTTGAAGGTAAGACAAGCCATCGCTAGGTTGTTCTTGGCTATGGTTTACCTCTAGATTTTCCCACAGTGACACGCAACGCGTACGCTTGTCTATTCTCCGCGTAATGACCTGCACCAGGGCTGGTCATTTCGGACCCGGACCCGGACCTACCCTAATTTGCATAGGTCCGACCGGGTCCGGGTCCGGGTGGGTCCGGGTGGGTCCGGGTGGGTCCAGGTGGGTCCGGGTGGGTCCGGGTCATTTGCATGATTTCCGATGTATAGTTTTGATCCGTTCTTAGTCATTTTTCAAGGACTTGCTTTCCTATTGATTTGCTTTTGTGGGTTGGTAAGTTAGACCCAAATCACGAGAAAAAACAGATGGACGACTATTCGTCCGATGATGACAGATCCGATGAAGAAGAAGAGGATGCTGTTACATTTGCATCTTGCTGAATTTCCGGACCCGGACCTACCCGGACCCACCCGGACCCATGCAAATTTATGCGGGTCCGGGTGGGTCCGGGTCCGGGTACGGGTCCGGGTCCGACCCGGGTCCGAAATGTCCTGTACTGTCCCGTCTGTCGGGCGGTGTCTCAAAAAATGTCTCAAAACTTGACCTATTTGGATATGCTTTCCTATGTTTGATGTTAGGTGGGTCGTACACATTTCTGTATGGTTAAAAAAGCCGACAAGTCATGGATACAGATTTTTTAGAGATAGACCCCATTGATTGTTTCGCTTCGCGACACGCAAAGCGCGTTTTTATGCTTGTATTGTGTAATGGATTAGGACCACCTCTTCACGAGGAGCGTATTGCGTAACAGCAAAATGTTTCAAAAACGAAGTGTTTTGGGTAAATTTGGTCAGGGACAATGCGTTGTGGGCCCGGTTTTCATATAGACGAATCAGTCGAAAAGACACGGCCGTGGATTTTATAGACTTCAGAAGCGCTGTGGATTTTTCCGCAGTGCGGCACGTAACGTCCATGCCCCCCCCCCGATTATTGCGTAACTGGTTAGCTCCCCCTTTACATTCCGAGAAAGCGCGTGCTGGTTGTATGTCATCGGTGTGGTAAAATTTATGGCCAACAACATCCATGGTTCTTTAGAATGCGAAAAATTATGAGGCCAACAGGAGGTACATGATGCTACGAACATCGCGAAAACCGTTTCTCGAAATTGCATGGTTCATGGATTCTTGGGTTTGAGCTTATTTTCATTAAAATTAATCGTTGTAGTGGCCGGCCTTTATTAGTTGACGAACAAAAGGAACGAGTTTTTTAAAGGGGGCGACCAAAGCCCAAACACGATTTGGGACGACGACACGCAGGGATTTGGGTGAATTTGTTCAGGCACAACGCTTCGTAGTACCAAGTTTCCATATCGTCGTGCGCGGATTTTCTCGGCTATGGTGGCCCTATGGAATTTAAGGCAACGCAACAAACCAACGCGCACGCAGGCGTTTTAAAGACCGTCGGAGCGATGAAATATCGTTTAGAGCAAGAAAGTCGGGGGTCGAACCCGCGATGGTTCGCTCCGCAGTACGACGCGCTTGCCATTATACCACAGGGCCAAGCGGCGAAGGGAGTCAGTGGCGCCCCAAACACCAGAGGGTCTTTGCCCAATACGGAACACCACTAATGACGACCCTCTCTGCGCGTTCTTGGAGGCAGTACCCTCGGGGTGACAGTGCGCGTTCCATCGTTCTGGTAGTCTTTAATCGCGTAAAGGATAACGGACCCGTTCCGGAAGTCTATTGGCTTGCGCGTTCCATGTCAAACAAAAAAAAAATGCATCAAAAGCGGAGGGGTTTAGATGGATTGTTCTAGTTGCAATTTCCGATGCATTCCACACAATAGGATACCGTATGATGAGAAAGCCGAGCAAGTCTTGGCCATGGATTATGCAGACATCGAAACCCTCGGGGTTTTGTTCGCGGAAACGCGGAAATGTTTCATTGATTGTCAGGCTTAAGCTTATTTTATATAGAAGTGGTCGTTCGTTTTCTCAGGGAATTGTATGGATTTTTTTTCGCGCCGAACAACACGCAGGCACGCCCTTTCCATTGCGTAATCGATTAACGCCCCTCTCTAAGCACCGCGTGCGTCATCCGTGCCAAGAAAATGTTTCATCCCTGAGGGATTGGCGCTGATTTGTTTAGCTGCAATCACTTATGCATGTGTCTTGCCCAATCTTATTTCGCTAAAGTAGCGGAAATTAGCAGTTTCACAGCATTCCGCCCTTTACCCGTTGTGTTCGTTTGACCGGGACAGGATGGCATGCATACAGGGGAAGGGAGAATCTGCGCTCTGGCCCCGCCCCCTGTTCTCTTCCCCCGTGGCCTATAGCCTAGTCTCACTCTTTCGCCGCCTATTCCGCGCCCCACCCCTCCTTGATGTGTCTGCACCCCGCCGTCTGGCGCACTATCCGCCAGCCTACTCACGAACACCGCGGAATCATGTGGTTTATTTTTCGCCACGCCCGCCTTTCCCTTGGGTGATCGATTCACCTCCTGTTCGCAGGGGCAACGCTGCGCACCAGTTGCCTGGGTACAAAAACGAAATGTTTCAAAAATCAAGCTATTAGGGCGGGTTTCGTTAGGCGCAATCTCGCGCGCTTCTCCTTTTACTCCGTACGGTTCAGAACCGGAAAATACATGACCATGGATCGCCTTGGATTTTTCAGCACCACGACACGTAATTCAGGTGCCCGCGACTCCGTTGCGTAATCTATTTGGAGGTTACGCGTCACACGGCGTTGGGGAAAGAAAGTGCTCGTTGCGTGTCGCGGGATGGTATCCATAATCTACGAATTGTCATGCATGCCTTGTCCGGCCCTTTAAAAAGCGAGAATTTCCGGTTCGAGCCGGAAATACGCATTTTTGCGGCGTCCGTGCGATGCGTATAATGAGGACAAAAATTGTCTCCAAAACCAAATGTTTCTTGGATATTGACGAATCGAACTCAGATAGATTCTACTAATATTTTCTCAAGCAAAGACTGTAATAACTCAAAAGGTTACTTACCAGCGTCGATTCCGAGGTCATACTGCCCCTTCCACTGTCCTGTCCGCTCCGCGTGCTGCCCTCACGTCTTCGGTGTAGAAACGGGCGCCGGAAGCTCAGCGAGAAGCTTGGCTGAAATATGAAAATTTAATATCAGATTAATTCATTAATTACTTAGTTTTATATAGAAACGGTCTTCTGTTGAATATCTTAAATGATAAAAATGGAGCCAGAATATTGACTTTTGAAACTATCGACAGATATTTTCGATGTAAATCATTGTGAGCGAATGGATGTTTCAAAACACCTTGTAACAGGGGCTTGGAAAGTAGCAATAATACGGCGCTTTTCTTTGCTCGCAGTTTCCGAAAGAATCTCTGCTAGCCTGCCCTCCTCTCGGGGTCCGTCCATTTCCTCAAACAATCTCTGCTAGCCTGCCCTCCTCTCGGGGTCCGTCCATTTCCTCCTCCAATCTCTGCTAGCCTGCCCTCCTCTCGGGGTCCGTCCATTTCCTCCTCCAATCTCTGCTAGCCTGCCCTCCTCTCGGGGTCCGTCCATTTCCTCAAACAATCTCTGTTACCTCTTATTTGTTGCCGTATCATCCTCCTCTACCCCAAAAAAGCCTCCCCCTGCTTACCCTCTGCTCCTCCCCAGCTGGCTCCGGAGAAGTTTGTGGCCGACTGGTGCTGTTCGTATTTTCACTTCCGGAATGTTCTGATACCTGTAAACATGGTTACGACCGCTCAATGGCACAATTTTATTGTTAAGTTGCAGTTGCCCGCAGCAATAATTTGATTCGCAACACATTTTTTTATGAGGGTGTCGGAGACAGAATAAAATAAATGTTTGCAAGCCGGGCTTAATGTATTATTTGTTACTCTGAGACATCAATATCTTCCAATTGCCTATTCAATAACTTGATTCGATTTTTGGCTGAGTTTGATTTGAAACATTCCTTTTGCCAAAAACAAGGCCCTCAGAAGTGGGTCTTTTCCGTCTCGACAAAAATTCGATTCTTAATCTAAGAAATGTTTTTTTTAATAGTTTAATTTATTTTGCTATCATAATATCGAAACTCCTAAATCCGAGATTTCATAATGCTGAAATTCCACCATTTCGACGTTTCAATATCGCGAAATTTTTCTGGGATAATTCGGCGTTTTCCCGCGCGGTTTACATATATTGATTTCCGACATTCTAAAACTTCGAAATTATAAAATTTCGAAATTCTGCAATTTCGACATTATGCAATCTCGATGTTCAGTAATTTTGACATTATGATACGGCGACATTTTGTAATGAATTTTTGTAATAATACCGAATGATATGAAATATCGACATTTGGAAGTCCATAATTATGAGCATTACGGACCCATATCCAATTCCATATCGTGATCCAATTTTGAGCTATTTTGTATGTAAAACATAGTTTCTTTTCGAATAGTTTTGGAAGTTTCTAAAAAAATTGTGTATCGCCACTAAGGCATCATTAGCATTCCCCTTTCATATAATTTCGATATACCATTTGGATTTATTGTTTTTCTATAATCTCTTAAAATTGCACTTACCTCAGGAATGGAGCTAAATTTCTTCCAGAACTCCTGCACCCGGGTGGAAATCGTGCGTTTCCGGACGACGGGCGGCGCCAGGGGTACTGTAAATTAAAAACGGGCTTCAGGAAATCATAAAATTTAACGAGTTTATAATTTAATTGTAATGTTCCAGCAATCGAAGAGTTTTTGAGGCTAGGCGAATCCGTATTCTGTGTCCCATCGACATTTACTTCGATTGAAGTATTTTGATACGTTCCAAAAACCTGAGATTATTGAAAAATTTTATTATCCCGGAGAATTTTGATCAGTCGATCTCTCGCTATCTCTCTCTAGCTCTCTCTCTCTCTCTCTCTCTCTCTCTCTCTCTCTGTCCCTCTATCGCTGTCTCTTACCTCTGACAATTTCATCTCCATCCCGCGAAAACTCTGCCATCTCGATTTCGTCTTGGAAGGAGACGCGAGGAGATCTAAAAAGTTTTTGAGAAGTTCAGGCATTCCAAATTTAGAGAAAGACGGAGATTAAGAGAGAGAGCGAGAGAGAGAGAGAGATAGAGAGAGAGAGAGAGGGAGAGAGCGAGATAGTGAGAGAGAGAGAGTGAGAGAGAGAGAGAGAGAGAGAGAGAGAGAGAGAGAGGGAGAGAGGGAGAGGGAGAGGGAGAGGGAGCGAGATAGTGAGAGAGAGAGCGAGAAAGAGAGAGAGGGAGAGAGGGAGAGAGAGAGGGAGAGAGAGGGAGAGAGAGCGTGGGAGCGAGAGAGATACCTGCTTCCCGATGGCGCATCATCAAAATCAAAAGCCGCATCCCCTGTTGAACCTCGCTGAGATCTCGGGCTCAAAGTGTCGGTGGTTTGCGTAACGCCAAGAAATCTAAAATTTAGGGATAAAAAGTATGTTGCATCGACAACAAATGCTAAAAAATTTTCGATTTTTCTAATTTTTGCGAATTTTCTAAATCACCCTTTTATTGAGTTTTGTTATTAATTTTTGATCTATTTTAAATACATTAGAAACGGTTCCCACAAAAATCGTGTTCTCGGTCAGTGTTTTTGGAAACATGTGTGTTTCATCAATTCCCGCTTTTTCGAAAATTTGAGAGCACGTTAATATTCAAAGGGGGCATACACACTTTTGATTCATGGTGCTCGTCAGCGCGTCCTCCTCGTGCGTTTTTCGGCGGCTGTTCGGTGGATGCGTATAGTACTGGGAGATTGTACTGGAAATGAAAGCATATTTATTTGTGAAATTAAATATATTAAATACAAACTATAATATGCAGATATTGGCTTTCCCTAGTGCGATTTTTGGCGTTACTCTCCCGCAGTTTTTACCGGTGGTCCTCCTGATCAGTTTGTCTTGACAGATTTTTGGAACGTTTTTTCTTAATTTTGATTCTTTATAGTTTCAAATAAGTTTAATCACTAATTGTGGTCCCAAAAATCTTCCTTTTGATTTTCATTGATTTTTTGCCGTAACATTAAACCATTGGATTAATTAATTACTTAATTATCAAATTTAATTAATTGCTCGAAATGAAACACGAAATTTGAAATTAAACCCACGATAGCACAGGCATGCTGACGATACGCTGGATGGCAGGGACGGCCTTCTTTTTCACGTGCCGCTGGATTACCTGAAGAAAATTGAGGTTCATTAGAAAACAATGTTTCGTATCTGCTTATACTAATCAAACCTTTCTTCCAACGATAATAGAGATTCCTACCGATGGTAAAAGTGAGAAAACTGTGAGAATCTGGCTAGCGGGTGATGAGACAATTTAAATAAATCGCGATCGATAGGAAAATTAAGATTAGAATTAGAAAATTAAATAGGAAAATTTAATCCATAATTTAGTAAATCTTTTTGATAAAATGAAAACTGATAGTTACACCTGAATTCCTCTTTACGACATTTTTTAGTACGCGAATGGTCTGGAAAAATTTGAGCGTAGATACGAAAGTTAAAATAAGAGCTCCAGAAAGATGTTTTTGGCATTTTGGGTCGACCGTGAAATGAAATTTGTTTAATCGTCCCAGTTAAATTTCTGGTTAATCGAAGTAACTTAAAGTTAAAGCTAGTAAATTAATCTAAAAGGCGTTTCGCGGAGGCAGCAAAATTTATCGTAAATCTGTGACCAATAAAAATCCCCGCTCAGTTGAAAAACCATCCGTAAAAACCACCCAATAATCATTTTTCAAGCTTCTTAAATCCGCCCAAATTTGAAACGTAGCGATTTTTCGGTGCGTAAAATCTATGGAAACGCTTGGAATTTGCCCTTTAAACGCCTTTAAAATCGCTTAAATACTTTAAATCAGGATGTACCTTTGTGAAGAACACGTAGAGAAACGGGTTCATGAACGAGTTGATCGGGAAGAAGAAGACGAGGAAGATCTTCGCGTCCGAGATCGAGATCAGCAGGAACCCGAGGGCAGCTGTGAAGCCTGAAAAATTTGCATAATACCAACCAAAATTTTTTAAAATTAACATCACCGCAACAGTTTCCTTTGTAGGAACAATTTTTCTACAGCCTGACTTAAAATTTTATGTTTTAACTATTTTGCAAATAAGAAATCATGGACCTGCGACAATGGTCCTACGCTGTGGATTCAAAAGATAATCAATGAATGGAACACAGCGGCCCAGCTCCTAATAAAACGTCCGGTAGCTTTGGGAAAGGATGGAAGACCGCAACGCGTGTGTTAGACGCGTCGCGCAATTGCTAAATCAGGCCTGCGTAGCTAAAAACCGGTTGCTATTCCGCGCACCCGCAAGCAACGCGCGAAAAACACGTACAGTACGCCCTTTCCCTTGAACCATCTGGACCGAACCCATGGGCGGTTGTGGGAAACCAAGTATAGCTTTACGAGGTGTAATCGCCATTAAATTTGGGTTTGTTTTGAATGTTAACGAATTTTCATTCGGAAGAAGCAAATTAAAATAATTTTTCACAGCCGTACAAAGAAATTGTTTCTCCTCAATCATGGTAGTAATGACACTTGATGGGGAAAAACCATAAAGAAAAAGGTCGGCACCCGCGGTAAACTGAATGTTTTATTTTTACTCAAAAATAGAAACCGATGAAGTACGGCAATAAGACCTTTGGGACGAATTCCAGCCAAACAAGAATTAATAAAATTGAAATCAAATATAAATTTAATTTAAATAAAATTTAATTTTGAAGTATTTATGGTGAAAAACCAGCGAGTTTGAGTTTTTAAGTTTTTGGCCTGAATTATGGGAGAAACGGCGCCTTTTTACGTTAATCAGCCACGATCCCGTCCCTACAATCCTTCTCAACTTTGCAATGGGCGACGCGGGCATACGATCGACACCGAAATTGAAACTTTTTAGCTAACTTATGTGTTTTGAATTAACGGCGCCCCGTGAGGGAAATTAGCGTTGAAAAAAAATGTGATACAAAAACAACAGTCCCCAACAAATATTCGTCAAATTCAAAAATCTTTGAAAAATCGATGTTTGGTCTAAAGTTGTGAACCTACGGCTCGACTAGGAACTAGTCGACGGTGATTTGTAACCCATGCAATCGAGGCCCAATACAATTGACACCATTATTTGTATTTTAAATTAGCAAAATTCAGTTCATTGTGTAGATAACTAGCAGAGATTTTTCGGAAAAATGAAAATTAACCCACCAAAGAACAGGGTGGGAAACCAGCAAATCATGTCGGTCCCGATGAGCAGCGCCATTTTCTTGATCACTGCCCGATCTTCTGGACGGCTTGGAGCGTCTGGGTCCTTAAAAGAAAATTAAAGGCATGAAAATAAAGGTTCTATACCGGTAACGTGGTCCTTAAAAAAATAAGGGTCCTTAAAAAAATAAGGGTCCTTAAAAAAAATAAGGGTCTTTAATAAAAATAAGGGTCCTTAATAAAAATAAGGGTCCTTAATAAAAATAAGGGTCCTTAGAATTTCAGGTTAAGGACCCCTGTCCCAACAGGGGTCCTTAAAATAGATGCTATTTTTAAGGACCCCGATTCCCGGCAACTCCCGAAAATACAGTATTTTCGCCGTTTTTGCACAGATTGTGCCTCGTTTAGCTATTTAAATTACGCGACTCTCTTACAGACAGTTTGTGCCTAAAAATAAGGCTTCGTGCCACCGGGGCCTAGTCGCTTCGGATGGGCGCGAGCTCGTACAGGGTTTCGAAATCGGGGCGCCCGAGGAGCGCGAAGCGCCTAGGCGCCCCGATTTCGAAAGAGTGGAGCGGCAGCCCATCCGAAGCGACGGCCCGCCTTGCCTGACACGCCATAAGCCTGAAATCGTGCTCATCCCCACAAAATTTCCACGCAACCCGACGTGCTAGGTTTTTTAGCCAGGGAAAATTTGACGCTTATGGCGTGTCAGGCAAGGTGGGCCGTCGCTTCGGATGGGCTGCCGCTCCACTCTTCCGAAATGGGGGCGCCCCCGGCCGCTTCGCCGGCCTTGCCGCCCCCATTCCGAAACCCTGTACGAGCTCGCACCCATCCGAAGCGACTAGGCCCCGGGTGGCACAAAGCCTTATTTTTAGGCACAAACTGGGTGTAATTCAAAATGCGAAACAAAGGACAATCTGTCGCGAATCCGCGTCTCCGCGAAAACGGCGAAAATACTGTATTTTCGGGAGTTTCCGGAATCGGGGTCCTTAAAAATAGCATCTATTTTAAGGACCCCTGTTGGGACAGGGGTCCTTAACCTGAAATTCTAAGGACCCTTATTTTTATTAAGGGCCCTTATTTTTTTTAAGGACCCTTATTTTTTTTAAGGACCCCGTTACCGGTATAGAGCCAAAATAAACCTAAATTGTCTCAAGGCGGGTGCAATACAATTCCGGAAAAATTTGGATTTTTATATGTTTCAAAATTGTTGATACAATGCTTGGCTTGAAAATTTCTAATACGAGTATGCTAAGATGCTCAGCCAATTCGAGCAGAGATTGTTTGGGTAGGGACTCAAATTTTCGAAACTCATATTTTCGAAAACTTATATTTTCTTAGGTTTCTGAAGTTACCTAACAAGGGAACCTCAGGTTGGCACGGTGGAATTTCGAAAAACGCTCGCGGCTACTCCTAGGTTTTCGACAATGGCGATTCCAAAGGTCTTTTCAGAATTTCCTTCATGGACCTGTGGTTGTAAGCCTATGCAAGGCTGTAAATATTAGTTTTCGAAAATGTGAGTTTCGAAAATATGAGTTTCGAAAATATGCACGCAATTCATTGTTTGAGGAGATGGACCGACCCCGAGAGGAGGGCAGGCTAGCAGAGATTGTTTGAGGAAATGGACGGACCCCGAGAGGAGGGCAGGCTAGCAGAGATTGTTTGAGGAAATGGACGGATCCCGAGAGGAGGGCAGGCTAGCAGAGATTGTTTGAGGGAAATGGACGGACCCCGAGAGGAGGGCAGGCTAGCAGAGATTGGAGGAGGAAATGGACGGACCCCGAGAGGGAGGGCAGGCTAGCAGAGATTGGAGGAGGAAATGGACGGACCCCGAGAGGAGGGCAGGCTAGCAGAGATTGTTTGAGGAAATGGACGGATCCCGAGAGGAGGGGCAGGCTAGCAGAGATTGTTTGAGGAAATGGACGGACCCCGAGAGGGAGGGCAGGCTAGCAGAGATTGGAGGAGGAAATGGACGGACCCCGAGAGGAGGGCAGGCTAGCAGAGATTGGAGGAGGAAATGGACGGACCCCGAGAGGAGGGCAGGCTAGCAGAGATTGGAGGAGGAAATGGACGGACCCCGAGAGGAGGGCAGGCTAGCAGAGATTGTTTGAGGAAATGGACGGATCCCGAGAGGAGGGCAGGCTAGCAGAGATTGTTTGAGGAAATGGACGGACCCCGAGAGGAGGGCAGGCTAGCAGAGATTGGAGGAGGAAATGGACGGACCCCGAGAGGAGGGCAGGCTAGCAGAGATTGGAGGAGGAAATGAACGGACCCCGAGAGGAGGGCAGGCTAGCAGAGATTGTTTGAGGAAATGGACGGACCCCGAGAGGAGGGCAGGCTAGCAGAGATTGGAGGAGGAAATGGACGGACCCCGAGAGGAGGGCAGGCTAGCAGAGATTGGAGGAGGAAATGGACGGACCCCGAGAGGAGGGCAGGCCAACAGGGATACGGTAGTAATTTTAAATACCTCGATTTTGAGCATCCAGAAAATGAACACGTAGCAGACGACCATCCCGGAGAAGGCGATCATGTTGAATAGGAGTCCGAAGAGGATGTAGATCTAGAAAGAATTTTTGGGTTTGATTTGATTGAAATTAAAGTTTTTGGATTCAAGACTATCGAAAATTTGATCGAAGGCGCTATTATTATTCTTAAAGAATGACTGCTAGCCTGCCCAAACGTGGGAAAGAATTTGCATGTCATGAAAAATAAAATGTTTCAAAACGACATGTCCATCGAGTTTTGGTTGCGGTTTTAATGACGGAGAGACGATGTTCTATAAAAAATCATTAAATGTTGTACGTTTCTATAAATCTAATAACTTTATGGATGAGTCGTTTTTTAATGTATTTTCTTACCTTATCCCAGAGCGTATCAACGCGTAGTGGCAGGCAAATGCTAGAGGTGGAGTAACTGGAGATACCTTAAAGAAGCGTCATTAATTCTGAGCTTCGTGACTATTGCGGATTTTTACTGATTTAAGAAGATATGCAAAATATTAGGCACTGAATTTTCATTAGTATTATATTCATTCAAAACATATTTTTTGGAAAATAGATTTATAAAAAATGTGTTTCACTTTATTTATTGGATATGCGCGAGTTTAGGCCTAGAATCTACGACAACGGCTCATTTATCACATTAACAAAAATGTGAAAGTGATCTTGCGTCGCGTGCGCCCAACAAACTCAAAATTTACATACCAAAAAGCGGCAGGGCGCCATAACAGCTGCTAAGACATAGCCGACTGCAAGCATCAGTATTCCGAAGCCTAAGCCAAGTCGGCGACCGTGGGTTGCTTTCCTAAAAATAGAGCTTTTCCTAAAGTCTCTATCGGCATTCCGAACTGCATTGTCGAAAATCATGAGAATTAAAGAAAAAAATGTTTTGTAGAATTACCCTATCCAAAAAATGGTGATTTTCTTAGTGAGAGCTTTACATTGACGGCTTCGAATATTTTCACTGGCTCCATTTCCTCCTCCAATCTCTGCTAGCCTGCCCTCCTCTCGGGGTCCGTCCATTTCCTCCTCCAATCTCTGCTAGCCTGCCCTCCTCTCGGGGTCCGTCCATTTTCCTCCTCCAATCTCTGCTAGCCTGCCCTCCTCTCGGGGTCCGTCCATTTCCTCAAACAATCTCTGCTAGCCTGCCCTCCTCTCGGGGTCCGTCCATTTCCTCCTCCAATCTCTTAGCCTGCCCTCCTCGGGTGTCATTTCCTCCTAATTTTTTATTTGGTGTATGTAATTTTGCCTCTTTGGGTGTATTTTAAACAATTTGCCTGCCCTCCTTGGGTGTCATTCCTCCTCTTGTGTGCCTTTGGGTGTATTGCCCCGGTGTCTCTAGCCCCCCTCTCGCTAGCCTGCCCCTCCTCTCGGGGTCCGTCCATTTCCTCCTCCAATCTCTGCTAGCCTGCCCTCCTCTCGGGGTCCGTCCATTTCCTCAAACAATCTCTGCTAGCCTGCCCTCCTCTCCGGGGTCCGTCCATTTCCTCCTCCAATCTCTGCTAGCCTGCCCTCCTCTCGGGGTCCGTCCATTTCCTCAAACAATCTCTGCTAGCCTGCCCTCCTCTCGGGGTCCGTCCATTTCCTCCTCCAATCTCTGCTAGCCTGCTCCTCACCTGGTATTGTACGCCATTTCGAAAGCAATGAAGAACATAGAGGTAATCGAGTTGTGAAGCGAAGACGGCGAAGAATCCAGCCGTTGCGCAGCCCCACCTAAAAAAGTTAATAGTAGGCCGCCAATACCTCGCCCTTAATAAGTTTCCAACATGACTATTTGCCAAAAGCATGGAATATTGGAAAAACCATCGAGGCCTTTGAAAGTCATTTTTGAAACACAGTTTTTCAAGGGTATTTTTAAATGATCTGGAATTTCCGGACCTTGGTAGGTTTTATTACATGGATACAGGTCTGCGCATATTTTTTGTAATTTTTGGAAGATTGATTTACGAGGATCGTTCTGAAATCAGTTCTGATTTTCGATATGTTTTTGGCCGTTATAAAATCGAGTATAGGCTTGGGCATAAAAATGTTGCGTTTTGAAGCCTCCGAAGTAGCGGTAAATTAGCGGTAAATTTGTCAAACTAGGTTACCTCTTTAGGCTTCCAAATTTTTGTCTTCTGGGTAGCCCGATTTTATTATGGAGGGCCGGGACTGATGGATTACGAAATTTTTTGAAACATTTTTTATGATCCCGGAAGAAATTACTCACGAAATTCTCATTTTTTTTAGTTGTTTGGTCGTTATAAAACCGGTTTTTTGAAATAATTACCCAGTCTGCCACCCAACCGCATATCGATAATATTCATCGGCCGTCTGGTTGTCCTCGATGGCCAGCAGGGCTAGGTACACACCTAAATTCAAATTTTTATCAAATTTAAAAAGTTTAACACTACATTTTTAGAAGTTTAATGAGCTTTTTTATTCATATTAACGGAATTTTCAATATTACATAAAACTGGAAAAATTATATAATAGGTGCTTTCAAAACCTTAATTTTCATGTTTCACATACCACTATTAGAATGCGCTAAAAACGCAAAATAATCTGCTCGAACACAAGAGATCATTTGAGATTTTCCTGATATCCTTCCCCTACCGTGGTTTACTTAACTAAATACGAAAAGAGAATAATTAAACAAAGCATTTTCTAGGCTTAAAAATATTTATACAAACCTGTCACCATATCGGCCACGCCTAAATTCAACATAAAGTGGTAGAGGACTTGCATCCTACGCTCGTTTGACATCCAAAGCACGATCTGCAAACATACCGATTATTTTTATTATTTTATTTTGCTAATACTAATTTTCTATTGCCATATTAATAATAAGACTGACATATTAATGCAAATAATTTGTATGATTTGCATTAGCTTGTGGAAAATCGATTTTATGAAATTCAAACCTTTGAGTTCATCATGTCGATATTTCCAGTTTGTCGAAAATCGGTTTTTCGACCCTGATTTTTTAAAAGTATCTAGCTCAAGCATTTAGAAATGTAACGTCCGAAATCCTAATTTCCGCCAAGTAGAAAATTATTTTTTTGAGGAACCTTGATTGAGGTACATTATAATCAAAGAAAATTTCGGCTGTAAGAATGGCTTGAAACTCATGTTTTTATCATGAGCCTGGCTATCGCTACATTTTTATGTTTCACATTGCATTTACCTTACAAAAATTTGAAATTCGCTACTTTTGAGGTTTTCGTGAATGTTTCCAAGGTTTTGAAATCACTTAAAAAGCTTTTAGCAAGCTAAAAATGAAAGCTTCAACTTTTGAAAAATAAATTCCGAAATTTTGTGGAATTATATGTTTCATAGTAGGTAGCCCTACAAGCATTTTTAAATCGGCTAGTCGGTTGTGCATGTGAGCGATTCTAAAAGATCGTTAACTTTCAGTCATCTTGAAAAGCTAGATTAGATTTAGTTGATAGAGATTTAAAAACGGTTTCAGCGAGTCCCCAGAAGGCATCAGCTACTAGCTTGGTACCCGATTTTTACCCTGTTTTTGACGCCATTTGAAAGAGCGTAGTTGAATTAGTAGGGTGCATAGTTTTGAAAGTTTAAAATGTTGTATTTTCGGGGTTTAAATGACTGTTAAAGTCGCGTTTCGAAAACCACGGATCAGGAAAATCTGAAAATTTGTGACAATACTAATTCAAGGGCACTGATCATTTGTCTAATCCATTGCAACAATTGAAAGTGCGATTCTGCGAAACACGACGACTTCGTAGAATCGTCGTTAACCCCAAAAGAATAAAACGCATTTTTCAAGATATACGGACAGCTGGCCGCTCCATAAGCGATACTCCATTCGGTGCAGAATTTTCGCGCGCAGCGGCCGGCTCTCCTACTCCTGCAAATCGCAAAAACCCTTTTGAGTACACGATTTCACCATGTTCCAGTCACTTTCAGTTGTTGCCATTTATTAGAAAAATGATCAGCACCCTTGGATTTTATTGTGTGAAATTTTCAGATTTTCTGATCAATGGTTTTCGAGATAGATTTTCGTGGTACGCAGCTTTAACAGTCATTTAAACTCCAGAAAATCAACATTTCACACTTTCAAAACTATGCACCCCTACTAATTCGCCTACGCTCTTCAGGTGGCATCAAGCGCAGGTTCGAAAAAACTGTACCAAATGAATTCAAAATGTCTGGGACATCGCCTTTTCATAATTACATCCCTCAATCCACAACCCTTTTCGAAAGGTGTTTCAAGAACTTTTAGGCCACACTGTGAATTGCAAGAACCAATGGGTCAAAAATGGCGGCTGCCGATTCAATTTCGGTTCTCCGCATAGTTTTCACAGAATTTAATTCTATTTAAAATACGTATTTTAAATTAACCGTATTGAGTATTGAAAGATAATACGGACGAATGATAGTTGCTGCCTAAAAGCTAAAAAAATGGTTAAAAGCACACCCAAACCAGGGCATTTCCGACGATTGCGGCAATCCACACCACCCAAATGGCCCGTCGCAGAGGGAGGATACCTGAAAATAACGTCGGAAATAAACGATTTTCGATGTAACGACAATCCTTATAAATTGTAAATTATTAAATTCCAGCCAAAGAATCTAAACTTTATTGCGGATGTCCGACTTTTACTGTGATCGCTGACACCCTGGCTTATAATTGATCTCATGAAGCGCCTTTTTAAGACTCTTTATTCCAAGCATGAGCCGTTGGCTTCTTTTTTGTTGAGCATAAAGACAGTAGTTAAAAACCGATGCAAACTCTGTTTCGAAAG